GGGGCTGCTGCGGAGAGCGCCCTAAAAGAGGAAAAGGAGGGTACGCTCATCGGCCCCTTCGACCTCGTCGGTCTCCTTCGTCCATCGGTCGATGAAAGACCGAAGTGATTCACCGTGTTGCTGTTTGACAGAGAGGAGATGGGAGAAATGTTTCTTCACGTGCTTCCTCCTGGTGAAGTGGGTGAGGAAGCGTTGGGCAAGGTCTTGCTATGAGTCCATGCTTCCTTCGGGCAGCGCGTTGAACCACCCGCACGTTGGTCCCTCAAGAGTGGAAAGGAACCAACGACAGAGGTATTCATCGGACGCATTCAACATCAGCATATTGTTTTGATAGTAGCTGAAATGCTCCTGGTGGTTGGTGTGACCGTCATAGGGCTTGATGGATTCCCCCGATACTTCTCGGGTATTGGGGCCGAGAGCACCCTTGCGATGAAAGGAGTTTTTGTTCTGATTTGGATGATGGGGTCACCACGTCCCTCGGCCAGCTCCCCTCCCCAAGGCACTAACCTTGTGCAAGAGTGCGTTGAAGCCGGGATCCCCGGACGTGTTGGCCGTAGGAGTCTCGGCCAGCTCCTTGGCCTCCATTTGGGCAAGCCTCTTTTCCAGTTGGGCGATGACATCATCCCTAGGATCCTTGGCGACTGTAGTGGCGACGTGCGTCCCCACGCGGGTTGCATGGGCCATGTTGATGTGGCGACGTGCGTCGTCCTCATACAGCTTCCCCTTACCTTTGTTAGGGTGGGGCCGATCCGCTGTCCGAGATATAGACCCCAAGCTATCCCTCGTTGAGCCAGGCTCACGTTCGGCCGTTCGTCCAGCTAGCCTCTCTGATCCTGGCCGAAGATGCGCGTCCCCCAGCCTATTGAAGGCTGAGGCTCTACGCATTGGGGCCAGTCCAACTCGGGGACGGGAATCAGGGTTGGAATGGGACGAAGACGTTTCATGCGGCTCTACCCCCTCAACGTTGCCAATCTTCATGACCAACGGCTGAGGTGGGGTGGTGGTGTAGTGTTCCCCCCCCCCCCCCCCCCCATCCTTGGCATAAGCGCACTGAGGACGATGGGGTTCTGAGCCAGGCTGGCTATGATGGCCGACAGAGCGGCTTGGATTTGAGGGTCAACAGTGGGAGTAGTCTGTTGCCTCGATGCATGGTCACCCTTGTCCATGCGCTTCTTTTTAAGGCCGATGTGGGCGTCTTGAGCGTTGATGTTGAGCTGATTACGAAAGTCAATCGTGGGGTTGATGGCCTCCTGAAAGACCTCCTCGTCCCCTCCCTTGTCGACGTTCGTGGCGTCACCTGAGATCGAACGTTCGTCCTGAGTCTCGGGGATCGTTTTGTCAACGGGGTTACAGTTTGACCTTGTTCTTCCCATAGTCAGTTAGCTGTGCTTGGAAGCGACGAAGGATGCTAACTTGATTGTTATAGATCTCAATGAAAGCACCAAATGATAGAGTAGTGAGAGAAGTGAGAGCTAGAGAGACAAGTGACTTGTATTAATCAATTGTTTTACCCTTTACATAGCTCTCAAGGGGGAGTATTTATAGGAGAAAAGTGGACTGGGCTCCCAAGCCTTGGGCTTGGGAGGCCCATTACAATATAAAGCCTCTATAGGGCTCAACACATAGAGTTTGACTAAGTATAGAAGTCTGGCTCTGCGAGCTCCCTGTGGAGACGAACGTCTGGCTCTGCGAGCTCCCTGTGGAGACGAATGTCTGGATGTCGGGGATGTGGCAGACGGTCTGTGAGACGAACGTCTGGCTGATACATAATTGGGTCCTCTGTGGACGTGCGTCCCCTGGATGATGGACTATAAAACCTACGTACATCCCCTGGATGAAGGATATCATGTTGCCTTGGGCTTTCTGGGCCGTTCGTCCCTATTAGCTTACCTATGTGAGGATACGTATGTCCCTTGTATGATCGGAAGGATATCCCGTTGTCTTGGGCCTGTTGGGGACGAACGGTTGTACTTCCTTAGTGAGTATGTGGGTCATGGGGTCTAGACTCATATACTCTATCAGAAACATACTTCAACAAACATACACAAACATTTTAATTCCCTCAATAATTTTGTCATCATTCATTGAGTCATAAAGCATTTGGTTCATAACCGACCACAATTGAAACATACTTCAACAAACAAAACAACAATCATACACAACCATTTTCTTTCACTCATTACATCGAATACCTACCAAAGTGTAAACATACACTAATTTGGGAGGAGTAATTATCACAACAAAATGCCAACATGCATAACATCTTCATCTTCCAAGTCGAAGTGTCATTCTTAGCCATCGCCAGTAGGATTTGGGCATTTTGTTTCTTCAAATCACCTATCCCACACAAGCAAGAATTGATTTGACACTGCAATTTGAACTCCTTAATCTTCAAAGCATCCTCAATGCTTGCAATCTTGTCAAACTAATATTCATTGGTTTCATGGGACATTCCACAATTGCTTTCATCAACACACTCAAAAAAATAACATTTTTGAACCCCACATGTGAAATAGCAACCACACCCGTGAAACTTTTTCCCTTTGTTCTTCTCTGTCGTTGTTGTCCAGATTGGATCTTGGATTTCATAGTCGCATCTCTTAATCCAGTCACCTTGTTCTTCAATCCTCGTCGTGCTTGCACCAGAGTTCGATTTTGAAGAACTCATTCTCACGCCTCCTCCAGCCCTGTACACTTCGTCTCTCAATCTTATTATTACAGGTATCTAACCAAATGAAATGACTTAATATGCCTCCTGTAATTCATTTTAATGAGCTGGACAGATTGAATCCCGCACGGCTGCCATTTGGAGGAATATAGCTCCACGTCATTAATTTCTAACGGCCAGTAGGCTGAGACCCCTCTGGTGATAACGAAGGTAAACCACGAACATCACATTGATAAAAAGTGAAACGCATAACCCTCTCCGCAAATGGCCACAACCACAAGTAGTTTTTTCGTATTTTTCCCTTGTTTATATGATGTGATGTGATCACTATTTATGTGATCTCGTATGAATCATTCAATTCACTTGTGTCAAAAAGCACATTTGAATGGTTAAAAGCTCCCACTTTCATGAAGTAGAACGACCATATATTAGTAGTTCTAATTTCACATCAAGCACTATAATTTCGTATCTCTAGTCAAAGATTAAAAGTTGAAAAAGGAAAGTTCTTATCAAAAGTGTTACTCTTGCTCTATTGCACGATTGACTAAATTAGGAAAGTTCAAATAAAAATTCTCAATATGATCCCTCAGTTCCTTATGAATGATATACAAATTGAGTGGCATGTTATTTTTTTAATTTCTTTTATCATCTTAAAAGTAGTATGCACATTTCATTTTTTTCATATATAATGAATGACATACACATATTATACTATTCAACTACTATACATTGAAGCTTTCAAAAAGAAAACTACTTTACATTGAAGATGCAGATTGTTCTTGTATTCTTCAAACACAAATTAGTTTTGACATGTGCATTATTTAATAGAGTTTGTAGTCGCTGGTGCCAGCGACGGATTTAGGGGGCGAGAGTCGACTACCCCTTGAACGTGTTAGCCCTTCTTAAGTTTTAATTTTCAAAATTAATTTGTAGTCTTACATAATACTAGTATATATAATATTTAATAGGATATGTACATGAAAAAGTCTAAAATAATTTATCTTAACATGGACAAATAAATAATAGAACAACTCACTTATTTAAGACAAAAAATACTTATATATTCTTTAAAAATAGAATCCTAGTTTTTTATAATATTTAATTTATCTTTATAGATAAATATTATCCAAACAATATTAAATACCATACACAGCTATATTAAATAGTTTTTAGATAATATGTTGTGAATCCAAAATTGAAATGTTGAATTTTTTTTAGTGTACATGAGTTGTACACAATCCCCCTAGTTGCCTATATGCATAGGCAATTCGTTGGAAAGGGGCCGGATTTGATGCCAAAATCCTCCTGGTTGCTTGTGTACACAAGCAATGTACAATGTGTGTACACATTTTGTGTACATCAAGAATTGCCCTAAAATGTTTGAGTGGCATTTAAAAATAGGGAATAGAGTCAAATAGGCCCTCGAACTAACTTAAAAAGTGCGAATCACCCCTTATATAGGAGGCTCTGTCTGGCCATCGCCATTTGGGGTGATTCCCAGTGGTTTCCTTTGATAAATTTGTTGAGCTTCTTCTTCCTTAGGTCTAGTTTACACATACCAAATTTCAGCTAAAAATGCAATATGGAAGGTAATCAAATGAATTTTTGAAGACAACTACGCACAGTGGCGGAACTAGCCCGTGGATCTTGGAGGGGCACATAATGGGAAAGGAAAGGTATTCAGCAAGGCAGGTGGCTTGCTACAACCTCGGATTTCCGGTCTCCGACAAGATAGATGGTGGGAAGAGGAAGTACCGAAGAGGCTACGACGCTGCGTACTATGAGCCGTTCAGAAGAGTCTGTGTCCGCCTTGTAGGCCGTTGTGGCTCGCTACGCAGCAGAGGTCTCCAATAGGTGGCAAGGCAAACGGTTTTTTATTTTATTTAATTTTTATTGTTATTTTAGTATATTAAGGACTGATAAATATAATGTTGGAAAAAATGACATGTACTTGTATATTACTAACAGAGTTTCTCCTAACAAAAATACGACTAGTTATGTTTTTGGACAAAAATATGACTAGTCACTGAATTTAAAAAAGATCTATTTTAACTTTTGAATTTAATTAAGTATTACCTATGTCCCACTAACATTGAGACAAGAGGAGGTAACACGGTTATTAAGAAAAGTAAATTTATGTGGTTGATATTGACTTATAAAATAAGAATAAAGTAAGAATGATTTAGAGCCACCTGAACTTTATAAAAGTTGGTATGAGATAATTTTAGTGGGGTTTCCCAAAAAAAATGTTAAAATGAATTGCATGGACACTCCTCAAAAGCCCAATATTTGGTCGAGGTTTAGAATCAAACATTATAAGTTTTTAGCGGACCAAACCCCAACTCTCGAGCGTCCGAGAATAGCCCCATCTCGCGCCACTCGTCTGTCCCGCCAAAGCATTCGCGAACTAAAAGCCGACCGCCAAGCCGCCCAGACACCGACGCTGCGACGCTTGGACGCGTCGCGATCGGCGACCGCCGCTGTCTGCTCAGTGGACCTGCGATCTGATTGTTCCAGATTCCCAGCCCCTTCCGGCCCTTCGACCGTCTTGCCTTCAAATACCTTCAATGCTTCGTGCTGGCTGCCGTTCCTGGTATTCTGCTAATCTGCTACACAGTATTTGCCTCCTTAACTCTTATATCGATTATAGTTTAATGGTTCATAGACTCATAGTTGTGGAATGTTGATTGTTGTGAGATGATTAGTTTTTGTGTGTTGATTACTTGATTTCTTGTTTAATTAATTTGAGTCGTGGTGTAGTGGTTTTGTTGGGTTGTAGATGCCGCTAATTAAGTTAGTAGTCATTTAGTTTATTAGTTCACAGGGTCGATTTATCGAACTTTAAGTGGTTAGTGACTGTTTTCAATTTCTAATTTGGAGTTTATGTTAATGTTATAATTGGTTAAATAAAATTTTGAATCAGTTTAAATATTATAAATTTAATTGATTTCAAGGTGTAATAAAATGGTTTAATAAATTTTAAGATTTTTTTTGAAAGCTTGATTCTACTACGTTTAGTCTAAGTTTCTAACAAATTTAAGTCTTTTCTTTATTATAAAGGTCATGAAGTATTACTACTATTATTTTTATGCATATTACTTTACACAAAAAAGAGTTTTACATATTTTTATAAAGCCCGTTTTCAAATAGACAAGACTCTCCTGATCCTCAATACTTCCTGGAACCCACACACCACAAGCCCCCCAGTGTCTTAAATGTGCCTCAAACTAAATTATGCCAAATTTTTTAAAAACTAAGGTTTTTGTTTGTTTGGAAGAGAAATTTGAGGCCTTGCAAAAATCAGCGGTCAAGCGAATTTGCATTCTGATGGTAGGTGTGAGGCATATTTGGGTGTGTGAAGAGTTATATGGTTTGGCCGAGAGTGTGACATATGACCTTAGTTGAGTACACACCTAATCCTGAATTCTCATATATTTATTTTGTTGGATGTTAGTGTGTTACAGAGTGCTGCTGAGAGATTTGACGGTTATGATTGGATAAGTTGCCTTCCTGATGACGTTCTCGTTGTGATATTGTCTTCCCTTCCTCTGAAGGAATCTGGGCGCACGAGTGTTCTTTCATCTCGTTGGAAGAACTTGTGGAAACAAACCTCGTGCCTCAATTTTGATGCCAGCAGTGCATTGGACAAGATTGCTCGAGATAACAAGCTATGCAGTGAGGAAAGGCGCAAGTATGTAAGATGGGTGAACTCAGTCCTGAAATCTACACCACACAAAGGGTCGCTCACCTTAGAACACTTCAGGATCTGTTTTGATGTAGGAAAAGGATCCTTTGAGACCATTACGAAGTGGCTTAAGTTTGCTTTTAAGAGACAGGTTGAGCGGTTGGAGTTGAACCTTCTGAAATACGGCGATTATCAATCACTGGAACAGTATGTCTTCCCTGAATACATCTTGTTCCAAAACAGCATTACATCCCTCACCAAACTACTACACTTTTCAACTTCAATTCCCTGAAAGCGCTGTGTTTGAAGAATGTTTAGATCAGTAATGAAGCTATTGAATTTTTCTTGCGCAACTGCACATCATTGGAGCAATTAGATTTTCAAGACATAGATCAATTATCAAATCTTGAAGTTTGTGGTCCATCTCTCATGTTAAAAAGCCTGTATGCAAGGTATTGCTTTGGTTTGGTATCCGTTAAGGTATCCGCACCAAAAATTACTTCACTTGCTATTTGCACAACAAAAGGACTCGTGCTTGAGAATGTTCCAATGCTGGCCGATTTAGATATTACCTGTGAGAAAGCTCACATCCCATTGTTAGTTCCTGCACTATCTTGCTGCTTTTCCCAATTGAATATTCTTACGTTGCGGCTGCCGGGGTATAAGGTGGGCACGTCATCATTAAAGCTTGTTTAAGTACTTTACATAAGCTAAAATTAATTAACAGAAATATGTGTATTAAATGGGTCACGTACAAGAACAATAAGAAAATCAAAACGTATGCAAATTAGGCTAGAAATCAAGAGTAGATTTCGGTGTATTTTCGAGTAAGAAAGTATACCATTTAGAATGGGATAATAACTCCTATTTATAGGAGAAGTAGTTAATGATCTCCCGAGCGTTCGTCCGTTATGAGTTATGACGGTTTCAACCTATATAATCTCCTCCTTAATTACATTAAAAAAAGGTTGTAACAACCATCATTAAGTCTATAAGTGTACCATTAACTTCTATGATCAATTCTCATAAATGTAGAATTAAACCGTCAAATATTTACTCCAACACAGTTGCTGCCTTATCCCCGGAATCTTTTGGGAATAAGGCTCTAATGTTATTGTTATTGTATATATTATTTGTTCCTTAGAGTTGATTACCATTTTTCTTGCAGGATCATGATATTGTGAGGTTTAACTTCCCTGAGATGCTTGAGTTGAAGAAGCTGGTTGTAGATTTTACCGCATCACATGATGGAAGTATTCTTGGGCTAATGACATTCATTAGGATATCTCCCAACCTAGAAGAGTTTGTGTTAATGGTGAGTGGGTCCGACTACTTGTGCGTTGTCATTTGGCTTTTTGTATAAGTTTTTTCCCCTTTTCCCATTTTATCATACCTTATTTTTGTTATCTTTCTTTTCCTCGTGGATCGGATATAATGTATCGGTTCCATGGTAGCCGACCCCAAAATTTTTTGGGACTGAGGCTTGAATGTTGTTCTATAATCATAATGTTCTGGTTTTGTGAGTATGTGTCTTATTTAAATGATTCTGGAATTTTGTTGCTTGCATGTTGTCCTATTTTATCATGTATAGGAGAAACAGACAGACAGATGGAATGATTGTTCGTTATGTTTTCATGTGCAGATTAACTATGGTGGGAAAATGGCATGGGCTAGCAGAGAAGTGAACAAGGGGACGCCATTTCCACACCAACACCTTAAGGTATTCCAGTACTTAGGCTATTACGGGCGCTGCAGTGATATGGAAGTAGTGATGTTCATTTTGGAAAACTGTGTTGGGCTTCAACAAATCATCATTGATCCAGCCATGCCGCTAGAATGGTTGCATACACCGCTAGATCCCGATGAGTTGGAACAGGAAGAAGTTTGCAGAAGTTATGCCAAGCAACAGCTCGAACCAATAATCCCTCCCCACATTACATTTGCTATCCGATAGATTCTTTTTATTTTTTAAAATTATAATGCTGCTGCTAAATTTTCAATTTAATTACCTACATTGATTTGTAATTTAATATTTATTAATAAATGTCGATATGTTTAAATTATTCTTGCAAGTAGTTTAATCAATTTTTATAAGTATATTTACATATTTTGAAATATGATAAAGAAATATTACACTGGCTAGTTTAATCAAACAGCCAGCCACTCGATTGCAAAAAATATGATAAAAAAACTCAGGAAGATTGGTATAGATGTGTTTTCATTGGTATAAAAAATCTGCATAATATAAAACTGAAAAAATGCAAGTTAGAAAGAGTAAAACAAAAAACTGGATAAACAAGTGAAGAAAGCAGTAGTTTCTCAAGACTGCAATTACAACTTTTAATTGGTTTCACTATCCAACTCTTAGCTCAAATCACATGAACAACATATAGAAACATGTCGTGATCAATCAAGGTGACGCAATATGAGGATTTGATTTAACCTTCTCAAAGGTAAGATCACAATTGACACGAGTTTTTTCTCATGGAGGGGTGTTTTTTAAATTTATTTCCCAAACTAAGGTACTTTTAAACTTATTTTCCAAATAGGGGTATTTTTTGCCATGTCACCTCATTATCACTGTTGGGCGCCACATCAGTTTATCCACATCATCTCATCAATTCCATGTCATCAATTTTGAGAGTTTAAGTGTGCTTCTAAAACATGTTAACTTTTAGTGAAATTTGCAATACAAATACTTTAAGTCCAAGAATGTATACATTTAGCTGTGTATTACTCATTGCTTTAAAAATATATAGCTTCTTTTTAAAATAATTTAAAAATTGCGCAAAATACTATGTTTGTGATAATTAAAAATAAAGACTTAATTAAAATTTATTGTTGCTAAATGTTATGAAAGGCTCTAACCCACCCCAATTTAAAATCAGATACTATTCATGTCAAGAAAATCATATAATATTTATCTAAGAAAGAAAAAACTTGATAAATTTATAAACGAAAAATGCTTGGTTCCGAGGCGGAGTCGAGCTGAGGCTGAACAAAATTGAGCTGTTAGAGAATTTTCATAAAGAAAAATTTATACGATATTTTACATTAATATCAAACCTTTTATAGAATTTAAAGTGGACTAGCATGAAATTTACTTATATTTTATTTTATTTTATAAGTTTTTTATTGTTATATTTTTAATTGTTTGGGAAAGGAAGAAATATACTTCCTCCGTTCTTTATTATCTGTCTCGCATTCCTTTTGGGACGTTTTTTATCATTCGTCTCTCTTTCTATTTTAGGAAAGCTTTTGATAAAATACTCTCACTTTTATTACTTTTACCCCTATTACTTTTTACAAATTACTTTCTCTTTTCTACTTTATCATAACTTTACCCTACTTATTATACTCTATTTCCTACTTTATCATCACTTTATCATCACTTTACTCTTTTTAATATACCCTCTTTCCTACTTTATCATTTACCCTACACACTCTACATTCACCCTACTATTTTTCTATTAAAACTCGTGCCCAAGGCTAGCGGGACAGATAATAAAGAACGGAGTGAAGGATACATGATTTATACTTCTTAAAAGGCATATGTTAACAAGTGAATGGTGTAGTGTAGTGGTTCACATACATGCTTTTCTTGTGTTCCACTCAGGTTCAAATCTTGTTGGATTCATTTTTTTCTATATTTTAGAAGCACACCTAAACTTTCAAAATTGATGACATGGAATTGATGGGATGATGTGGATAAGCTAATGTGGCGCCCAGCAGTGATACTGAGGTGACATGGCAAAAAATACCCCTATTTGGGAAATAAGTTTAAAAGTACCTTAGTTTGGGTAATAAGTTTGAAAAAACTCCAATTGCCACCATACCCCTATGTATTAGTTCAATCAAAAAGAAAGAAAAAAGTTTTTCGATTTTTAATAGATGATTTTAGAATATACGGAGTAATATACTTTTTATCATGTGAAAATTGTGAACTTCGCAAATTTTCCGACAATTTGTTTTATTTATTGCATTTGAGATATGCTTATTATTTGGCATGGACAAGAATATGCCAATTATGTTATTTTGAGATTTTAATGAGGTTTTTAAACAAATGTCACCATATAAGAATTAATATTTTAGTGAACGTTTAAGAGATATGTATTCAAGAATAAACTCACACAAATTTATTAGAGTTTAGAGTTTCTGATATGTTAGTGGGCGCTCCGCTAAATTGTGAGAAAACTTTTAAATCAACAATACTCAATTCATATTTTAATATAAGCCCTACAATTTTCAGACTTGTTCAACAAACCTAGGGATGGACCCGGGCCGGTCCGGTTCCGGTTCCGGGCCGGGCCCGGGCGAGCTTTTTATGTACAAACATGGGCCCGGAACCCAACCCAGTTTAACTATTATACCCAATATATACACATATTTAATGCCAATTAACTAAAATGGTTACTGTATAGAAAATCTGAAAAGGATTTGTACTAAGTTTTGTAAATCTATTCCTTTAATTTATTTGATGAAGGAACCTAAAATCAATTTGGGTCCTTCATTTTGTTACACAGTCTCGTGGTACTTGAGGTGTGTATCAAGTTTGATGGACATAAACTTTATTTTTAACAGCCATTTCCAAGTCTCGTAGTACTGAAATCTCTAATATAATGACATCTCCACTTCCAAAATGTCAAACATAGCAGCGCCATATGCATACTCTTGTTTTGCAGTTTTTCAATTTTTTGGGTTTTAGGTCTTAACTGATATTGTCTACTTAAATACAACCCACAATATAAATGATTTCAAGCTTTCATTGTTAAACAGTTTGCAATTTTGGGTTTAACATAAGTGACTATGGTTTTGTTGAAGCACAAATGGCACCTTTCACCAATAACAGGTAAAATCAGAAATGATAAGGCTGAACATACATTGCAACTTATGCCTAAAATTGTATATTTAAACTCTCTTGTTTATAATGTCCTTACCAGATAATAGTTTTTTAATAAATTGTTTGGAGAAACATTTAGTTGAAGTCCCCTTGCTTGGCAGCCGTTAATATAAAGAGTATGCACTATCTGAAATAAAGAGGCTTCTTTTACTGAATTGTTACTTATGTCCAAATTGAAAATTTGGACATAATACCTGTTATGATCCATTATAATACCTGTTATCGTAATTAAGGATAGAATAGTAATGAGAAGAGAATGATTTTCTGTGTATTTCATTGGAGGGTTAAGTCCCTATATATACATTACAAAGATAGAATATTCATATACGATTCTATACAATAATAATATCCTAGAGTATATTCCTGAAATATTCTAAAGTATATTCTAAAGATAGAAGAATATTCTAAAGCATATTTTAAAGTATATTCTAATGTCATTCACACTCCCCCTCAAGTTGGAGCATAGATATTTATAATGCCCAACTTGTTACATAAATAACCAACACGGATTCCAATTAGTGCTTTAGTGAACAAATCTCCAAGTTGTTTTCAAGTCTTCGCATATCATGTAGAGATCAAAACGTTGAAAGGTACTCTTGTCAGCATGGACATCAATAGGTCAATATTCAGGTCCGACCAGTTAGATTAAAACATTGAAGTTTTGAGAAGTGGTGCACATGGAGCAAACAAAATTAGAAGGAAGCTATTGGTCTCAAGATGTCTAGAATAGAAAATCTCAATTTTTCTTGTAACAAATTTGGTTTTAAATTGGCATTTCGAGATCAACACTCAAAGTAAAGAAATTGACTTCCAATATTTGTAGGAATAAACAAAAATAATGAAAGGCACATAAGAGACACTGTGAATCATCGATGATTTCGCTGATGGGAATCGAAAAACTGAATTCAGGATATGACACATATGTCATTGATGAATGGATCTGGATGAAGGCGGAAGAAATTGAGATAGACCTGATCTAGAAGGCGAAAAAATTGTAAGGGAAGAGATGTGAATGTGTTTCCAATCGATGAGTGAGGTGATAAAGTGGTGGACGGTTAGGATGAGAGTGTCATTTGGGCGGGAGAAAGGAGAAAAAAATGTATTGCTTTTATGTACTAGACTAGACTAGATTTATTTATTTATTTATTTATTTATTTATTTACTTATTTATACTTCATAGCATGTGGACTGTGGAACTTAAAGTGTTGCTAATAGGATAGAATTCCTCTTTTAATGAAGAATGATCCTTGAGAGTTGGGCTAGAATATAACTGAATTTAAGTTTTAGTAAGACTTAAGTTATATTTTCTGAATTGGTTTTCAATTATTGTGAATCATAACCTTTGTTTCTGTGAGTGTGACTTTTAATACATTAGTTCAATATGATGCTCAGGCCTACAGTCTACAGACATTTAACAAATTCGATGCGAACACAAATTGTGAATAAAAATGCGGTGCAAACTCTAATCCCTTAATATATTCATCAAATTAATGAGATCACAGTTAGGGACGGACCCGGGCCGGGTCGGTTCCGGGTCGGACCTGGGCCCGGCCAGGCTTTTTTTTGGGAAAGGGAGGGAACCGGAAACGGCTCGGGTAGACGGCGATTCCGGATCGGGCCAGTTCCGGTTCAATTTTTTTTTATTTCTTACTCCCTCCGTCCCATAAAACTTAGTCAACGTTGACTTGCACGTAGATTAATAAAGTGAAAACCGTGTGGTTGATATTTGTGCAAAGGAGAGAGAAATAACTTTAGCCACATATTTGTTACTTTAAATGGAAATGACAAAGTTTTTGGGACGACCAGAAAAGGAAAGTTGACCAAGTTTTATGGGACGGAGATAATATTTATTTCACTCCGCCCCCCATCCCTCCCCCCACCCCACGAACCCCTCGGAAATACCCAGCCCAGCCCAACTAAACCCAACCCAAACCCAAAAACCCCAAAAAAAATTAAAAATGGCCCGGCCCGGGCCCGAACGGCCGAACCGGCCAGGCCGGTTCTCATAAATCAGGGCCCGTGCCCAAACCGTCCTACCCGATCAGGGCGATTCAAAGCCTGAACCGCCATTCCGTCACCCGGGCCGGTCCGGGCCCGCACAGTAGCAGGCCGGCCAGGTTCACGGGCCGGACCGAATGGGTTTGGGCCACCCCTAAT